TCACTTTTTCAACTCTGCTCTTTGCAGAACAAATTTCTGAAGAGCTCACTTTGTAAACTGCAATCAGTGGCAACTGAGATAATTTTCCAGAGATTGTTACAGCCTTCTGATCACTTTCAAGAATACCCCTACAATTCATAAAACGTTGGTTTGTTTAATACCTCCTCTTTTTCCAGAAGAAAATTGTATCAACTTAATAAATTGCTTTTGTTTTATTTCCAATTACTGTAGCACCAGCAAGCCGGTGGTAACCCGAGTGTCTGCCAGTCGGGAAGAGAGAGGTAAAATGTGGCACGTGAATGGGATAGAACGCTCTTCAGAATTCAGAAGTGTGAACCAAGGTTACACTTTGCAACACGGAAGTTATCAAAATACAATGTTACGTCAAATAAACTTGGAGAAGAACAAGGTTTATAGTACAATGCTATTTAAATTAGTTAAAAAACAAAAATCCCCAATAATATGCAAACTTAATTATAGAATTAATGTTGCATATGCCACGTATGTGTGAGGTACCTATACCTAAGTACACGTAAAGAAGGTGGATGGAAAAGACATGAATTAAATATACTAGGGCTGGGTGCCTGTGGTGGGAGGGGACTGAGTTAGTAGGCAAAAGGGAAAACAGAGAAAGTATAAAATAAAATAAAGCAAAATTAGTGCAATGCAATGAATTAAGAACCTTCTTTGGGCCAATGATGACAAGTTACCATGACTCAACTCCAGACACTTGAAGTCTAAAAAACGAAAAATAAAATGAAAAGGCTGAAGGGGATGCCAACGTGTTCGGTCCATGTTCCACGGTGTGAGAGACACAGCTCCACGTACTTGGTGCAGGAGTCCCTGTCTCTGCGTCTCCCTCACTGAAAGGTAAGACGGTAGAACATTTGGGGGTTACTCAACCTCTCCAAGTGGGATCAGAAAGACCAAAAGCTCTTGAAGCTTTAGAAATCATGCTGATTTCAGATCTGGGGTATAGACATTGACCTTAGTTGGTCCCAAATCCAGGCTCTGTCCTGAGCATCAGAGAAGTGGAAGGGTTCTAATTAGAAAAGGTAGGAAACCCTCACAGTTTAGCCTCGGACTCCTTTTCTGTCCCGGGTTCCCTGGCCGCCTTCTCCTCCTGGGGGCAGGCAGCGGATGCTCCGCTTGCTTTCCCTTCCTCTTTGAATTTGTATATCTGGATCTGGATCTCTCTATCTCCATCCCCAAGTCTACAGCCACATCTACATCTGTATCCATATCTACATTTGTATCTGTATCCATACAATTCTTCGAATAGTGCCTGATACACAGCAAATGCTCCAAGAAGTGAACAAATGTTTGCTTGTTTACTTATTAGTTAAACCCACTCTTACCCACGTTCCCTTGGGGCTTTTGCATCCCAGAATATTTACCTTAGAAAAAGGTCCAATTTCCTGCTTGCCCTAGGAACAATTATTTGTATGGACATTTAACTTTGAATCTCTGAGGAGAACAGACCAAGGAAAATAAAAATAACAAAGATGAGGAAGTTGGAAATACTAAAACATCATACATGGTTCTTAGAGCATAGTCTCAAATTTTTGACTCCATTGTTGACATGGCAACATGAGAACCTCACAGGCCTTTCCTTACATTATCTTGAGAATGGGTAGGATACTCCTCAAGTATTTCCTTCACTCTTTTCTTCATCTAATATTTCCACCCTAAATGAAAGGTGCCCAGAACCCTAGGCAGTAAAAGCCTTGAATGCCAGTTATGTCACCTTCACTTACCATTGGAGGAATGGTGTGTTCTCCTGACTTACGCTGCTGAAGTTTAAGTAAATTCATGCTTCTCATCATGTGGAATTTGAAAGGAAGGAGTTTGTCTGGGTGTGCTTCTTCTAAATATCTACCACAATTCCTGACATCATATGGTTTTACTTGCATTGCTTTGCTTCTGCGTGCTTTTTCTCCTCTGAGAGTGCCCAGAGCCCAGGTTGCCTGCCTGGTGCCAGGGGATTAGGGTCTGCTCTCCCAGACTCATCCTGGGCCCCAAAGCATCAAGAGTTGGTTCTGGCAACCTACAGGGCGTCTTCCCCCATAGGGGTGCCTTCTGGAAACCGTCTGGTGCCCTCAAGTCCGTTGTCAGTGTGGTCAGTGACCCCATGTGTGCTCAGTCTGCTTGACTGTCCAGATGCCTGGCTCTGAACTTGTCTTCCAACGAGGGTCAGGACACGGTGTTGAATCCCAGCTCTCTTGGATTGGGTCCAGATGCTCCTGCCTAATGCCTCAGGGATTTGAAGTCTACTTCATTTATTTATCTATTTCCTTATTTATATTTTAAACTTCTTTACCTACAAAAAGCTGTACATAATTAATGTATACTACTTGATAAGTTTGCAGAGAAGTACCTTATCCATGAAACCGTTACCACAATGTATGCCGTAAATCTATCCACCACCTCCAAAAGTTTCCTCCGTCAATCTTTTTTTATTATTATTATTTGTGATGAGAACATTTAACATAAGATCTGCCCTCTTAGCAAAATTTTAAGTATATCATAGAGTTAACCATAGGCAGCGTGCTGCTCTGTAGGATTTATTCATCTTGAGTTAGTGAAACTTTTTACCCTTTGACTAATGCCTCCCCATTTCATCCTCCCCCAAGACCCTGAAAACCTCCACTCCACTCTCTGCTTCTATGAGTTTTACTATTTTTTTTTTTTTTTTTTGGCTGTACACGGGCCTCTCACTGTGGTGGCCTCTTCCGTTGCGGAGCACAGGCTTCGGACACGCAGGCTCAGCGGCCATGGCTCACGGGCCCAGCCGCTCCGCGGCATGTGGGTTCCTCCTGGACCGGGGCACAAACCCGTGTCCCCTGCATCGGCAGGCGGACTCTCAACCACTGCGCCACCAGGGAAGCCCTACTATTTTTGATTTATCTTTTAGGTAGTATCACGTAGTATTTTTAATCAACCTAAATTTCCATCAACGAATGATTGGATAAAGAAAATGTGGTGTAAACCTACAATGTAATGTTATTCAGCCTTAAAAAAGAAAGAAATCCTGCCAGTCATGGCACCATGGATGAAGCTGGAGGACATCAAGCTAAGTGAAATAAACCAGACACAGATGACCCTTGCTTCTATGTGATGTTCAATCACTTGGACAGGCTCCACTGGTTTGTGACCCACCTGAGTCTAAAAACTACCACCACATTTTCTTTAGCAACATCCTTCCCACGTACTAGTATAGTGGCACGAGCTCTGCTTGGGCTGGCGTTCACCCCACCTTCGTGGACTTGCTGCCTTTTGTTCCTGTCGGTCTCTAGCCCTGTAGGGATCAACCTTAGCTTGTTTGCTTCATCTGTTTTATTCCCAAGGCCAAGCAAGTTTGGGCACTGACATTTTGCACACATATACACACAATTATATATTATAATTATTTATTACATATCTCTAGTTTTGCTGATATGCTAAACAACAAATTCCCTCACCACCAAAAATATAAAACCATCATAACCTTGTATATATATATTTTCTCAGCCACCCCCCCCACCCCGCAAACAGTAGCAATTTTCATTCTTCCTTCCCAGGCAGTAATGAATATATAACACTGGAAGATGGATGTGGATGGATATCATGTACCCACTGGGGCATAAAAATAATTAAGATGCTACAGGACTTTGTTTGAACTCAGTGACTATACATACAACATCTAATCTAGAACATATAATTGACATACATGCTGATAATGGGGTAAGATATTTCATAATTAATGTCCCAGGAAACCTAACATAATGTTATACCAGCTACTCTGAAATGGACAGCAAAATCCTCTCTCATCACTGTAGAATACAAGCACATCTTATAATAAAGATGACTTTCTCCTGAGTTTCTGGATCGAGAATATTGTGAATGTGGAAAATATTACTAATATAAAGTACAATATTGGGTGCATGTTTTGGTTTGAGACCCTTAGCATGTTAAAAAGAAGAAAAAATCATGAAAAAGAGAATTAGATTAGAACACATATTTTGAGGCATTTAGTACATTTTGGAAGTGAAGGCTTATATTCCTAGGCTTTGGATCAGAAAGCTAATAGAAGTTCTTCTCCAAGGTGAAAAAGACAGTGTGAGGAAAAGAAGCAGCAGTTCTTTGCATCTGCTGGAGAAACAAATCAGAACAAAGGCAAAAGCTGTAGAGGGTGGTAGGGGTCATTAATGACTTTCACACTGGCAGAATGAAAGGAAAGATGGTCACCCTCGAACATTCATGAATCTTAGGTAACTCTCATTTCATCCATTCTGCTCTTGAGAAGTTGACATTATAATAATGAAAAGCATGTCAGGTTGGTGAGATTTGAATTGAGTGTGCACGTTTGTTAGCATTGCTGGCTGCATGGGTACTTTTGTTGATGAAATGAAGTGCTCTATAATATTAAATCATTGTTTCATGCCGCTTGTATTAATGCTCTGAAGGGCACTGCAAATTATATTACACTATTTCTTAAAGTTGATTACATCGTAGAACTGACCATGTCCCACTTGTGGCCTAAGATACTGAAATTCTTTTTAGAGGAAAAGAAAAGATTATTTATAGTACGTTCATTTTTGCTCATAGATTTTGAATCCAATGCACCTTTCCAAACAGGCTAGAATGGATAAAAATTAAAGATGAGACAGAGGAGAGCAAAAATAAGAGAGACATGGTCAGATTCCACGGGTTTCCATGTTGCCTTTTCTTTTTATTGTTTTTCCTGCATCTAAGAGCCCTTTCAGAAAGATCTGGCATGGAACAGAGAAGGAGAAAATAAAGAACCTGGGAAAGATACAAGTGGATCAGAGTAATTGCTAATAACCCTCAAGAACAGACAGGGTTTTTTAATGTCCCCCGACATCGTATGGGTGGACATAGTGAGATGAGCTTTGCAGTTCTCACTTTATGTGCTCTCCTCCAGAGAGCACTTAGTTCTTTTAAGAAAAATGTATTTATTTTATTTTTTTGGCCGCGCCGTGTGGCTTGCAGGATCTTAGTTCCCCGACCGGGGATTGAACCCAGGCCACAACAGTAAAAGTGCTGAGTCCTAACCACTGGACCACCAGGGAATTCCCAGGCTTAGTTCTGAAGAGCTGCAGAACCCACAAAACCCTTTCTGCTGATGTTAAATTTACCTCCTGCAATTTTCCTCAATCTTTTAAAAATTTTTATGATACATTTAGAATACTATAGAGAAAAAAGTAGGAGTAACAATTTAGTCAGGAGGATCAAATAGGACTGTGTATAGATATCCTAGCAATTGGTCATATGTTGTTGGACCACTAAATGCAGTTCATGTAGTTCATGTCTCGGGTGGACTCTCCAGGCGTTTCTGGCATGTTTAGAGGTAGCCAGAACTACACGCTGGGGATGGTAGCCAAGGACATTTTGCCTTCTAAATCTGAAAGCTTCAGAGCTTCCATAGCAATCACAATGGGAGCAGCAATGAAACGCTGAAGACTTTGCTTTTCTTTATTTAGCATTTGCTTCGTTGGCCAGTCTGTTTAAATTTTCTTTGACGTAATAGTAATACTATTGCTATTATACTATTCTACATACCATTGCTATTTTAGAGCAGCTATTAAGAATATTTCAAAATGGGAGGGATAACTTTTAAATTAAAGAAAGAATATTTAAAAATCAGTCATAAGATGATGTATTTGATCAAGCCATGCAATAATAATTGAAGACATCTCACCCTTGAACATTTAATAATTTAAGAATTACTAATATTTACTGAGTACACACACTGTCCCAGACACTGTTCTGAGCTTTTCATGTGTGTTAACTCATTTCAACCTCTTAACCCTATGAGGTAGTTTTTAGGAAACTCAAGCACATAGAGCTCAAGTTGCCCAACCTTATTCAATTGGTAAGCAGTGGAGCCGGTATTTGAAGCCAGGGAGTCTTGGATCCTATCTTAAACTTTCTTTCCCATTTTCTTACAAGACTGGTAAAAAAGAAGACAGAAATGATATCTGACTTTATTGCTGTCTTGTCAATGATACAATAGTAAGAGAGTTTATCATACGATCATATTGATCTAGGCATCACTGAACTCATCTTTTTCATTAAAACTGATCTGACAACCTTTCTATCTCTTTTCACTCCCCGTTGAAAACACCACTAGCTTCATAGTAACACATGTTCAAAATATCTGACACTCCACATTCCTTGTCTAGCTGCCAAATTCTTTTCCATCTTTTAAGATTTAGCTAAAGAATTACTTTGTTTGTGAATCCCTCTGCAGGGAGGTTGAGCTTTCCTTACATTTCCATCTTCTTATGGACCTGTTTCTCCTGGTTCCCAAATGAGATTCTGCACCAGTCCTAAGAGATTCAGGCTCTGTGTGTCTGTCCCCAAATACACTTTTCCTGCTCCTGCACCTTTATCTAGCCCCTTGAACATTCATTCTTGGAACCCAGACCTATAATTGGCACAAAGTACATGCTCAACAAATACTACCGAAGAAGTGAAAGAAAAAGAAAAAAGACTCAGGTTAAGTTGACACCAGAGAGTTTCAGGAAAATATGTACCAGGGTATATATCGGTATCAACTTCACTCAATCATAATTGTCCTGTCATCAGTGTCACAATGTCAATTGCTTATAAGAATGACCTAGGTTCAATAAGAAAAAATTCTATTATATTATGTAAATTCTACTTATCAGAGCTGATTATTTCACAGTAATTTCAGAAGAACATTTTACATTTGTAACATAAGGGGTTAACTTGGTTATCTGGAAAATACAGATTTCTAGAATGACTCTAGCCAGAATTCTGGATAACAAAGTTATTGTACTAAAATTCCATGAGATTGAAAAATTAAGTTGGCTATATAGAAAGAACTCTGTTTATGAAAAACAAATAATAAACCCATTTTTAGTTGTAAGTCTTTAATCATACAAAAACTTTTTAAAAAGAATTGTTAACCTTTTCTATACTTGCTGAACCATTTCATCATGACACTTCTCCCTAAATGCTTCAGCACCTCCAAAAAAATTGACATTATCCTACATAAAAACAATACGATTATCACAGCTAATAATATTAACAGTAATCTAAAAATATCATCTAATACTTAGCCCATATTCAAATTTCAACAATTGTTATTAAAATACATTTGATAGTCATTTCTTTAAAAAGAACAGAATCATTCAAGGATAGTGTTAAAGTAATTAATTGGTTTCTTAAAGTTTCTTTTATGCATAAATCATCCATTGATTCTTTGAAGGATCAGATCAATTATCTCTAAGAATGTTCCACCTTTCGATTTGTCTGATAGTTTTCTCATGGTTTTGTTTAACTTGTTCCTCTTTTCTCTGTATTTTCCATTCTGAGAGTCAGTTCTAAAGGCTCGATTAAATTCAGGTTAAACATTTTTGGCAAGAATACTCACAGGTGAAGCTGTGGCATTCGTGCTACATTATATCAGTAGGTACACAATGTCTGGTTGTCCTCCACATAATTTGATCAGCAGGCGATGGTGTAGTGTCAGCATGACTTGCAAAGAAGGGTGACAGCTCTGGTTGCTCTGCTCTGAGCAAATCTTAAAAGTCCCATTTTCCAAAGATAACTCTCCCATTGTGTCTGCCATAATTTCTAGAAAGTCAACATTTTCCACCTTTGTTTATGCTGAGTTATTGGAAGCCCTTGATAGAGCTAACATAATAAAAACCACTCTCTGCCATTTATACTTTTATCTCGAACCATATTATTGGATTACACAGCTATTGATTCAGCAAGGTACTTGAGGGAAAACAGCGAGAGCATAGGACTCTTAATGGAAGGGAGAGGTACCCAAAAGTGGAAATTAGATAATCTAGTTGGCACAAATTACCAGGGTTTTGTAACAGTTATTTTGCAATGGGATGGGCAGTTAGTTTGCGGGTAGGGAGTGAGTGGTGAGGAGTGAAAAGAATATATTTTGTTTTGTTAATGGTCTGGAAGAATGCTTTTAACTCTCCAGGTACACTGCGACCCCAACCTGCAAGTATGTTACCATGATGCTCACTCCTCCATGTGGGTGGTCCCAGTTCCACCAGCACAATTGACTTTTATCATGTGACCTTCTCCTTTTCTCTCTCTCTCTTTCTTTCTGATTTTACCAATAAAATCATGAGTTGAGATTACTCAATAAAAGGAACTAACTTTTCCTCACATGCTTTTCATACTTTTTACTTTTTCTACCTAAAGCTACTGTTCTTTAAATATTGTTTTGCTTACTTATCTCCATCTTTTGGATAAAGGCAAGGACTTTGACAACCTCGGTCATTCTTGCATCTCCAGGGCCTAGAAACTGCCTTGCCCAGAGAAGAGTTTCAGAAAACCTTGTTGCTGTGGAATGAAGGAAGGAATGAACAGCCTGCAGACAGGCTGGCATCTTTGTTTTCTGTTGTATGTAACGCCTTTGCATTGCTAATTCTATTAACTATTTTTATTGGAATTAATTGGAGGATGACATACTGACTGAAAGAATGAGAAACATGTTTCCCTGAAGTCAATACCTTACAGTTCTAAAGGAAGTATATGTCTTTCTTATTTACCTTGAGGGATTATCTCTAGGTATCTTGGATTATTTCAAGCATGTTTTCTGCAATCATGCATTTTGGATGTAAGGAAGAAACAAGAGCTTTAACTTGTTTTTCCCTTGTGATGTATTGTTCCTCTGGTAATAGTATGTATCAAATTGAAGGTATGGTTGGCATATACAGCAACTCAGGCAACAATTTTTTTTTCACTTGTTAGATGAAATGAAAGTCCACTTAGAAAATAGTCCTCCTGCACTTCTCTCATGAGAAAATAGTGAATGAGTACAGAATAAAGAGTTATGGATGTTGACCTTTGAGACTCTCCCCAAAGTTGCATGACTACTGATGGGATGACATGAAAAGTCATTTTACTTATAATGAGATACCAAGTGGGCCTGTTTTCTTTTAAAACCTGGCATTTAAAAATACATTTACTTCTATTATGTACTGGCCTAACCTGCACAGGCTACTGGATATGACATATTACCCGAGCAGATGTTTTAGACAACACGCTGGCAGCAATGAAAGTAAAGAGTAAAGTTTATAGTTTTATTTCTTCAATCTCGGAATCACACAACTGAGAAAGCTTTTTTATCTGGCGACTTATTACAAATGTTATATAAACTGCCTATTAATTTTATGCCTACTGTGCAGCAGAACTCTTTAATATGAAGAAATCGAGGGAAATAGATGATTTTTTTGAGTAGGACAGCTTTCCACTTTAGCAGGATCTTTGGTAGTCAATTTGCCTCTGACCTTAAGACCTTATGGGTGAAGAGGTAGGTTAGAGGGGCGTTCAGATATTTAGAGAAATGTATTCCTTGATACTAAAGGGGAGAAAGCATTGGGGAGGAAAGATGTGACGATAGAAATTTTTATAATTGTGTTATTTTGATCATTCCTAGGTTATAGAAGGGTAGGGCTTTAAAAAAATTGTTCTAAGGAAACGATTGCATTCATTTTACTGTCATGACCTCTACTGCGATTTATATTATGAACTCAAAATAAGCCTGTTTAATATTTCATTAAAATGCATAAAGTATAAACATACAGCATTATGTTACATAATGCATTTGCAAGTTGATATTCAGATGTGGGAGATTTCTGTATTCATGAAGGAATGACCTTAAGATCCCACTGAAGGATCATCAGTTTATGCAATCCTATGACAATTTTATTTTATTTATGTGCCATGTGAAAATATGACATTCATATAATCATCTCTAACAAATCTGTTATCCATCAGGGAGGGCACAAAACCATTCCTGTGTTCACTAGGCTGTTGGCACCAGCATTGGCCCCCACAACTTGGCAATGCCATCTGAAACTGTGCATATGTTCAAGCATTTGCATTCCTGAAATTTGCCTTTCCTTATCCACACTTGTCGAATAACAATTTAAAAAAATGGAAAAGACATGATTTTCATGCTCTATAATCAACAAGGAATGTTCCTAAATGACAAAGGAGTGGAAATTCAGAGAACTAAAGGGAGATTGGTTAATTCCAAATCGATTAGCCAAACACTACCACACAACCA